GGGGGGGGGGGAGTGGGGCGGGGGTGGTGAGGCCGGGGGGTGCGGATTTTGAGGTCGGCTGAGATAGGTTTTTTTTTTGGGGGGGCGAGTGGGCTGGTAGGCCGGGGGATGGATTTTTGGGGTCGGCTGAGATAGGTTTTTTTTTTGGGGGGGGGGGAGTGGGGCGGGGGTGGTAAGGCCAGGGGGGTGCGGATTTTTGAGGTCGGCTGAGATAGTTTTTTGGGGTGGGGGGAGTGGGGCGGGGGTGGTAGGGCCAGGGGTGCGGATTTTGAGGTCGGCTGAGATAGGATTTTTTTTTTGGGGTGGGGGGAGTGGGGCGGGGTGGTGAGGCCGGGGGGTGTGGATTTTGAGGTCGGCTGAGATAGGTTTTTTTTTGGGGTGGGGGGAGTGGGGTGGTGAGGCCGGGGGATGGATTTTTGGGGTCGGCTGAGATAGGTTTTTTTTGGGGTGGGGGGGGAGTGGGGCGGGGGTGGTGAGGCCGGGGGTGCGGATTTTGAGGTCGGCTGAGATAGGTTTTTTTTGGGGGTGGGGGGAGTGGGGCGGGGTTGGTGAGGCCGGGGGTGCGATTTTTGGGGTCGGCTGAGATAGATTTTTTTTTGGGGTGGGGGTGGTGAGGCCTTGGATGTGGATTTTGAGGTCTAAAGTGCCAGCAGAAGTAGGAAGCTGATGGCTGCAAACAGAGGGAAAGACCCGACCATGGAATGTGGAACAGGCGAGTGTGACAAGTAAGCAGCAATATGTTACATTTTTGTTCCTGGGTTTCAATTCTTAAGCTGCTTGCAAAAACACAGTGAGAATGCATATGCGTTTTTGCGGTGCAATTTCAATTCTGCAAGTGGTTCTGATTTACTATCGCTGTTCTCTAGCCGGTCTAAAACCGATTTTGACCTAAAGGGACGCTTTTTGGACGCCATGGACGTTTCTCAGTTTCCAGGCAGAAAGAACAGTAAAAATGCAGGCAGGGCGCCGGACAAAGCACTCGGGACAAAATGTATGTGAAATGGTTTGATACAGGAATGTTATACTATGTGATTTTAGTGTATTTAGTGAATGTCACTTTTTCACAGTTTTAAATTTCCCACCAATTCCGTCCCCCGTACGTCCTGACGTCGCAGGGAACAGAACCCAGAAGACAGATGCTGGCATCAGCCGGAGGACATTGCCGGGGACACTGCAGGAGGGACATCGCGGGAGCGCAGGACAAGGTACGTGAAGAAGAGATCCCGGAGCAACGCTGCAGTGTATTCCCGAGTGTAGCTGGGGGGGTTACCGCTTGTGGTGCTGAAACTTTACCCCGAGCTACACTTGGGAATACCTCCGGGGGGGTTAACCAAAGCTGTATTTAAATCTCAGGTGCTGTTAGGAATGTCTGGGACTTTTAAAAACAAAAGGGGCTGTATGGCGCTCATTGCGCTGTTTATCTCCTCATACACCCCCCCTCCCGTCTCTAGCACTGCACCCGGGGACTAGCAAGGAGGGGAGGGACCTTGCAGTGTAATGAGCATCGATTGGGTGCTTGTCAGCGAAGGAGAGCTACATTTGGGAATACCTCCGGGGAGGTTAAACACGCAACAAAAACGCAGCAAGTGGGACTTTTAAAAACACAACTGACCGGCATAAAGAGTTTCACAGGATCGTAAGGGATGCATTTTTCTTCTGCTTTTTTAACTGAAAAACTGATCAGTAAAAAAGCAAAAGATGTAAGAATTCTGGGCTAAAAAAATAGCAGGCTTTTGTTCTAAACAGAAGCTTACTGGGCCAGCGTTATCACATGGAGAGTCACATGCTCCTCCACACCCAGAAAAACCGGATATCTCAGTCAGCTCTAGGTGCTGAAGTGGCGAAGGAAAGATAAATATCTGCCGCTAGGGCTGGTGGGGAGAGAGAATAAAACAAATCTTCTCACACTGCACTAATGCGCACAAATAGCAATGCTGTCACGGACGCGGCGTCAGAACCCAGCCACCTTCACCAACTTGTGGTCGGTCAAACTCACATCGCGCTTCCACTGATACACACCAATGGCACTCTCGGTCTAACCCTGCACAAAGATTTTACAGCTTGGGATATAAAAGGGTTAACTGCGTAGATAACCATACCCAGCAAGGATCACTCATAGTTGGCTGGTGCTTAGATAGTGGTCCTGCAAGCTGGAAAACCTTTGTGCAAGGTGAGAGTGCCATCGTCACGTTTTAGTGACAGTGTGAGTTCAACAAGCCATCTGTCACAAGTTGGTGAAGGTGGCTGTGGTCTGAAGCAGCGTCTGTCACAAATGCTAGCGATTTGGAGCATCGCTTATAATTACTGAGCCATTTGTCATTTGCTAAAACGTAGGAACGAGCATCTCAGGAAGCCAAGAGAGCTTGTTATGGGGCATGACGATTTCCCAGATTATTGGAAACATTTTTCTCCAATCAGGGACAATCCTTTCCTATTCCATGGAGAAGAGCCCAGAGAGACCCAATGTCCAATAAATGTGTGTACTGATGAGCAGATATCTATCTATCTATCTATCTATCTATCTATCCATCTATCTGATCTATATCCATCTATCCATCTATCTGAATCTATATCCATCTATCTATCTATCTATCTATCTATCTATCTATCTGAATCTATATCCATCTATCTATCTATCCATATCCATTATTTATCCATCTATCTGAATCTATATCTATCTATCCTATCTATCTATCTATCTATCTATCCATCTATCTATCTATCCATCTATCCATCCATCTATCTATCCATCTATCTATCCATCTATCTATCTATCCATCTATCTATATCCATCTATCTATCCATCTATCTATCTATCCATCTATATCTATTTATCTATCTATCTGAATCTATCTATCCATCTGCCTATTGTTTTACGGTGCGTATCTACCTGGCTATACTAAACTTACCAATTTTGCCAAATTTACTTGCATTGGTTGAGCAGCTAAAACACTATATTTCCAAAAGTATTGGGCCGCCTGCCTTTACACACGCATGAACTTTAATGGCCTCCCAGTCTTAGTCCGTAGGGTTCAATATTGGGTTGGCCCCGCCCTTTGCAGCTATAACAGCTTCAACTCTTCTGGGAAGGCCGTCCACAAGGTTTAGGAGGGTGTCTATGGGAAGGTTGGACCATTCTTCCAGAAGCACATTTGTGAGGTCAGGCACTGATGTCGGGGGAGGAGGCCTGGCTCACAGTCTCCGCTCTAATTCATCCCAAAGGTGTTCTATGGGGTTGAGGTCAGGACTCTGTGCAGGACAGTCAAGTTCCTCCACCCCAAACTGGCTCCTCCATGTCTTTATGGACCTTGCTTTGTGCACTGGTGCACAGTCATGTTGGAACAGGAAGGGGCCATCCCCAAACTGATCCCACAAAGTTGGGAGCATGAAATTGTCCAAAATGTCTTGGTATGCTGACACCTTAAGGACTTCCCTTCACTGGAACTAGGGGGCCAAGCTCAACCCCTGAAAAACAACCCCACACCATAATCCTTTCTCCACTAAACTTTACATTTGGCAGAGTGCAGTCAGGCAAGTACCGTTCTCCTGGCAACCACTAAACCCCAGACATGTCCAACGGATTGCCAGACAGAGAAGAGTGATTGGTCACTCCAAAGAACACATGTCCACTGCTCTAGAGTCCAGTGGCGGCGTGCTTTACACCACTGCATCCGACGCATTGCACTTGGTGATGGAAGGCTTGGATGCAGCTGCTCAGCCATGGAAACCCATTCCATGAAGCTCTCTACACACTGTTGTTGTTGTTGGCTAATCTGAAGGCCACACCAAGTTTGGAGGTCTTTAGCTATTGACTCTGCAGACAGTTGACGACTTCTGCGCACTGTGCGCTTCAGCATGCGCTGACCCCGCTCTGTCATGTGACGTGGCCTACCACTTGGTGGCTGAGTGGCTGTTGTTCCCAGTTGCTTCCACTTTGTTATAATCCCACTAATAGTTGGTGGAATATTTAGTAGCCAGGAAATGTCACGGATGGACTTATTGCACAGGTGGCCACCTATCACGGGACCACGCTTGGAGTCACTGAGCTCCTGAGAGCGACCCATTCTTTCACCAATGTTTGTAGAAGCAGTCTGCATGCCTAGGGGCTTGATTGTATACACCTGTGTCCATGGAGGGGATTGGAACACCTAAATCCAATTATTTGGAGGGCAGGGCCAATACTTTTAGCAATATAGTGTATGTGAATCCCTCCCAAAACATTATCCTCTCACAAGTTATATATCAGTGCTCAAACCTTGCACTATATTATGCATTAGCATAATATAGTGCAAGGTGTGAGCACTGATATATAACTTGTGAGAGGATAATTTATTGGGAGGGATTCACATACACCAGTGGTTCTCAACCTTCCTAATGCCCTTTAATACAGTTCCTCATGTTGTGGTGACCCCCAACCATAAAATTATTTACCCAGTAATTATAATTCATGAAGTGTCGTTTTTATCTCCAATACTGCTGCTTTCAACACAGTAGCTGCTTTTAACAGAGTAGCTGCTTTTAACAGAGTAGCTGCTTTCAACACAGTAGCTGCTTTTAACAGAGTAGCTGCTTTTAACACAGTAGCTGCTTTCTACACAGTAGCTGCTCTTTACACATCGGAAATATGTGTTTTTCCGATGGTCTTAGGTGACCCCTGTGAAAAGGTCGTTCGACGCCAAAGGGGTCGCAACCCAAAGGTTGAGAACCACTGACATACACTATATTGCCAAAAGTATTGGGCCAGCCCTCCAAATCATTGGATTTAGGTGTTCCAATCATGGCACAAGACATGTAGGATGAGAGCTTACACTGCATCATGATTTGTGTTCTAGTTAGGGTCTTGTAGGCTGCAAAACATGAGATGTGTATTCTGGGGGTTCAATAGACTTTAAGTGGTCTTGTAGAGATACCCTTAAAAAACTGGAGTCATTATGGAGAAGATATCCTCCAGGATACATTCAGCATGTGGATAAGGATTAGTGAATATCTTCAGTACTTACGTTGCCAATAGGACATATTTCCGGAGGGCTTTCAGCAGAGCCTTTGTCCCACCCTGATGAAAATGCAGAGCTTGAAAGGAGACCCCCTCCTTGGTAATAAATATGAGGTAGGACCAGCTCAGGCCAAGTTTGCTCTTGCGAATGGACTTTAGTTCTGATAAACTCAATGAAAATGCCCATTTCTCCCGACTACCAGGCTTTGCAACTGTAGGATAAAACATGACAATCACAATTAAAATGAAACTTCAGAAGTTGTTAGAGGGATATCATTATCAGGACAGGTGAGGAAAAATCAACCCAATGGGGGCACAGGCACCACAAATCACAGGCTTCAAATAAATTTGGGCTTAATCTTTCAAAGTGGTTACAAACCCTAAACATTTTTTTTATCTTAATGCATTCCCTGCAAGGTAAAAAACGTTTCATGACGTGTACAGCCCCCTCACCCCCCTATACTTACCCAAGCCTTATCTCGATCCAGAGCTGTGCCCATCTGTAGTGCCTAGGAGAATGTCACCAGCACACCAATATGGGTCCAAAAGTTTTAACCACTTGCCACCCTGCCACTGTAGAAATACGGCGGCACGGGCAGGCAAAACCACGTTTTAAAACGTGTGTTTTGTAAACAGGTAGGGGGCGCGCGCGAGGCGCGCCGCCGCCCTGCCTGTCCCGCCGATCACAGCCGCGGATGTCAGTCGCCGGGTCACAGCCGGTCCTTACCGGCTATGACCCGGCGATCGGCGGCAATAGCTGACAGAGAGCACAGCTGCAGTAGCTGTGCTTTCTGTCAGTTCCCTGACAGCTCCAGGACACACTGATCGGGACAGAAGAGTTTCTCTCTCCAGATCAGAGGTGTTCCCTGCAGTACACACCCCGCCCCCTAGTAAAACACTCCCCCTCACACAGTTAACCCTTTCCCTGAATAATAAAGTTAACCCCTTCCTCCCCAGTGCCATTAGTACAGTGTCAGTGTTTTTTTTTTTTTTTGCACTGATCACTGTATTGGTGTCACTGGGGATGTCAGTGACCCCAAGTCAGTACCCCCCAAATGTCAGAATGTCCGCCGCAGTCCCGCCATAAGTCGATGATTGCCACCATAAGTCCCTGATTGCTGCCATAAGTCGTTGATCGCCACCATTATTAGTATAAAAAAAAACTAAAAATCCCAGTATCTTTCCCGCCATTTGTAAACGCTATAACTTTCACGTAAACCAATTAATTTACACGTATTGGGTTTTTTTTTTTTTTAGCAAAGACATGTCGCAGAATGCATTTTGGCAGAAATTTATGACTAAATTTGATTTTTAAATTTCTTTTCACTGGACATGTTTTATAGCAAAAAGTCCAAAATATTGTTTTTTTTCCTCAAAATTGTCAGACTTTTTTTTTTATAGCGCAAAAAATAAAAACCGCACAGGCGATCAAATATCACCGAAAGAAAGCTCAATTTGTGGGGAAAAAAAGGATGTAAATTTCATTTATGTACCGTATTGCATGACCGCGCAATTGTCCGTTGAACTAGCACAGAACTGTATAGCAAAAAATGGCATAAATTGCAGTATCTATACCATAGTTTGTAGACGCTATAACTTCCACACAAAGCAATCAATATACACTTATTGGGATTTTTTTTACCAAAAACATGGAGCAGAATACATTTTGGCCTAAATTTATAACCAACTTTGAGTTTACTATATATTTTTTATAGCTGAAAGTAAAAAAAATTGTTTTTCTTCAAAATTTTTGGCCTTTTTTTGTTTATAGTGTGAAAAATAAAAAACGCACAGATGATCAAATAAGAAAGAAAGAAAGCTCTATTTGTGTGAAAAAAAGAACGTAAATTTCGTTTGGGTGCAGCATTGCATGACCGCGCAATTATCAGTTGAATTAGTGCAGCGCCGAGTAGCAAAAAGAGGCGTGGTCATTAAGGGGGGTAAATCCTCTGGAGGTCAAGTGGTTAATAAATGGTCACATAGTTACAGCAAGGCAACGTTTCGGAGTCTCACAGGACCCCCTTCATCAGGCATATTCCGGCCGACGGTCGCTGCAGCACCCACTTATACACACAGCCATTTTTAACGCAGGAACGTGTGCGTTTGGATTGTACACTTGCATCTGTAGTGCCTCTCTCTCTCCTCTTCTACTCGCTCTCACACGCTTTGCTGAGAACAGTGGAAGCCATCGGCTGCTGCTGTCAATCAAATCACGTGACGAGAGAGTGGAGGACAGGGCCAAGCCTCACTGTGTCTATAGACGCAGACAGCGGGGCTCAGGATCGAGCACACAGGTGTGCCAAAATAAAAAGCGTCTTCCTATGATGGCACACAGAGAGGAAGAGGACCCAGGAGCGCCGGAGGGGCCCCACAAGAGGAGGATCAGGGCTGCTTTGTGCAATACCATTACACAGAGCAGAGAAGTATATCATATTTGTTATTGTTTTTAAAAAATTGGACTTTACAAACACTACATTTGATTCACTAAACCTGCAGTGTAAAATTTGGTGCAGCTCTGCATAGAAACCAATCAGCTTCCAGGTATTATTGTCAAAGCTTAACCTCCTCGGCGGTATATTTCTGATTTTTTTGTGCCGAAAGCGGTACCATTTTTTTGCATGGAAATATGTAGTTTTTTATTGTAGGCTGTAATTGTTAGGAATAACTCACTGAAATCTGTCCGAACAAGAGTCTAGTAAACATCCCGGGTATGATAAAATTTGAAACACGAAATCATAAATTATAATTTAATAAATAATCATAAAAAATAATAATATAATAATAATACATTTAATTCAATAATATAATCAAACCAAAAACACTGAAATGTGAAATACAGCGCCAAGTTCGCACATCGCTGAGCAAAGTCGCAAAATCGTTTTCAGTGTCTGATGAGGAATTTCCCCCACGAATCATTATCACTCAATTCTGCAAGTGGTTCTGATTTACTATCGCTGTTCTCTAGCCGGTCTAAAACCGCTTTTGACGTAAAGGGACGCTTTTTGGACGCCATGGACTTTTCTAAGTTTCCAGGCAGAAAGAACAGTCAAAATGCAGGCAGGGCACAGGACAAAGCACTCGGGACAAAATGTATGTGAAATGCATTGAAACAGCAATGTTTTACTATGTAATAATCATTTAAAAAAAAAATGAAATTTAAAAATTTCAAATTTCCCGCCGGTTCCGGCGCCCGTACGTCCCGACGTCACAGAGACTGGAACACAGAAGCCGGATGCCGGCATCGGCCGGAGGAGATGGCCAGGGACGCTGCAGGGGACACATCGTGGGAGCGAAGGACAAGGTAAGTGCTGCAGGGACTCCCTGTGCAACGCCGCGTGGTAAGCCCGAGTGTAGCTCGGGGTTACCGCTCTTGCTACTCAAATTTTTACCCCGAGCTACACTCGGGAATACCGCTAAGGAGGTTAACTTAACAGGCTGTAGTTAGAAGCTGATTGGCCACCATGCACAGCTGCACCAGAGTTTGCACTCCCGAGTTTTAGTAAATCAACCCAATAAAGTCCAGGGGTAATTAAAACCTTTGTAACCAGACCACATTTTGAAGTCTTGCCATGCAGCAGAAGCGAAGCCAAAGGTCAGTAACGTGTGGTAGCGAAGAAACAGGCGGTAGCAGTAGTGACAAGAGAGAGAAAGCACAATATGCTGGCAAACAGGAACTGCAAAGACATGGCTAAAATAAGAAGTTCTTGGGAGGAGCACAGGGTTGAAGGTTGAAAAGAAACAAGACGCAAGGCAAGGCTGTATAAGGAATCAGGTATACAGCTGTAAAGCAAGAAGAGATACTGCCATACATAGCAGAGGTTGCAGGTTCAGATCTGGGTCCTGACAGCTTCAACCAATCTATTTTGTATTTGCAGAGCTACAGGCAGCCCCCTACCCCCAACTCTATGGCCTCTACAACATCTGTCAGGAGCTCCTAGCACAACATTACTAGATGTCAAGAAAGGCTTTCTGTGAAAGTGCTCTTCTACAAGAGCAACATTAGTGGTAAGCACTCAGCATAGGCCAAGGTTGCAAAACCACTCTCAAGCACCATCTGCGGCGATGCATTCGAAGAAGCATTAGCAAGCAGGCAAGAAAAAGAACAATCTGATACACCCAGTACTGAATTGTGAATAAGTACAATATAAGCATTTCACAATAAAAATCTCAAACAGATATGAAATGTGATGACAGGGCCTCTTGATAGCACTCCCACAGGAAGGTGTACTCACTGATCCAAGTTTCCTTGCCCATCTCTGAAGCTGCAAGTTGTCCCTAAAGCCGGCCACAGATGGATCGAAATTTCAGATCAGCAGGGACCAGATGACTTTCAATCCATCTATCGGCAGGCTGGTTGTACTGAAGATGGTCTATCGATCAACTGCAATACAACCATCATGTCAGGTTTTTTTTTGCACAATCACTGCCACTGGCTACAGCCGCCAGCAGTGATCATTATATTCTGAAGGCAGGGAAACCTCCCGCTGTGAGAATACAATAGCACAGTGGGAAGGATTATCCCATCAACACAGATTGTGTTCATGGTGGGGGAATTGAGCAAATCCCATGGTTGAAGGAAAGAATATTGCATAATGTATGGCCACCCTAAGAATTGTTGTCAGATGGCGCGTGAACTTACTTAGGTGGATAACGGACTGTCCTCACACACAGATGCACAGACAGCTACAGCTGACAGTGATCAGGCCTAGTGCTTGGCAATTAGACCTGATAATAACACATGGGGAAGTCCCATGCAGATAGAGAGTATTGCAGGCCATAGATGGGGAGAAAACCGGCCGATTTTTCTTTAAAAAAACGAAAAATCGGTCGTTCAAGCGGCTGACGTTACCAGGAACGGTAAAAAAAAAAATAGGCCGATTTTCATCCCGTCTACAGCCGGCAAAAAGTATCCCTGCAGAGAGCTCCACTATTTCTTTGACATTTATAGCAGTTGCAACAATGTATCTATTTGTATCCATTTAAGATACAGATGTTTTTATTCGGAAACAAATAGATACAATGTTGCAACCGCTATAAATATCAAAGAACTGTCAAAGAAATAGCGGAGCTCTCTGCAGGGACACTTTTTGCCGGACTGGAATTCCTCTTCTTCATCCTCTTCTTCTTCTTCTTCATCCTCTTCTTCTTCATTCTCTCTTCATCCTCCTCTTCTTCATTATCTTCTTCATTATTCTTCATCCTCCTCTTCTTCATCCTCCTCTTCCCTCTCTCTTCATCCTCCTCCTCTTCTTCATTCCTTATTCTTCTCCTCCTCCTCTTCTTCCTCCTCCTCCTCTTCCTCCTCCTCCTCCTCTCATCCTCCTCCTCTCCTCTTCATGCTCTCTTCTTCTTCTTCCTCCTCCTCTTCTTCATCCTCCTCTTCTCTTCATCCTCCTCCTCTTCTTCCTCCTCTCCTCTTCTTCCTCCTCCTCCTCCTCTTCCTCCTCTCTTCATCCTCCTCCTCCTCTTCATCCTCCTCCTCCTCTTCATCCTCCTCCTCCTCTTCATCCTCCTCTTCTTCTTCATCCTTCATCCTCCTCTTCTTCATCCTCCTCCTCTTCTTCATCCTCCTCCTCCTCCTCTTCTTCCTCTCCTCCTCCTCTTCTTCCTCCTCCTCCTCTTCATCCTCCTCCTCTTCATCTCCTCCTCCATCCTCCTCCTCCTCTTCCTCCTCCTCTTCTACCTCCTCCTCCTCCTCTCCTCCTACTCATCCTCCTCCTCCTCTTCATCCTCCTCCTCTTCATCCTCCTCCTCCTCTTCATCCTCCTCCTCCTCTTCATCCTCCTCCTCTTCATCCTCCTCCTCTTCATCCTCCTCCTCTTCATCCTCTTCTTCATCCTCCTCCTCTTCATCTCCTCTTCTTCATCCTCCTCTTCTTCATCCTCCTCTTCTTCATCCTCCTCTTCTTCATCCTCCTCTTCTTCATCCTCCTTTCTTCATCCTCCTTTCTTCTTTTTGTCTTCCTCTTGCAGGTCACTGCTCATGCGCGCAGATTTTTTTTATCAGTAAAAAGATCGGCTGATTTGCCCATAATTGCCGCGAAAATCGGCCAATCGGCAAAATCGGCCGATTTTTTTCCAACTTTACCGATAAAAAAAAATCTGCCAAAATACTGAAAAACGGCCGAACAATTAATCCACTAACGATCCGAAAATCGTCCGATTTTCTCCCCATCTATGGCCTGCATAAGTCTTTCTGGGCAATCAGAAAGTCACAGAAGCAAAATGACAGATCACTCTTAGGGCCAATTCACACTATCTGCGGTGACAGATGTGTTACTGCATGGTAAACCGTCTGTCAATGCAGGGAAACACAAGAAGCAATTGTTTCGTATGTGTCCCATTCTCACTGCAACACAGCCTAGCACTGCGATGCAGTGTGCTGCAATAAAATGCAGACAACCTGCATTTTATTGCAGTGCACTTGGCCAAATCACACTACGGTGTCAGGCAGTGCAGTGCAGCGCGTTGCTTGACATGGCAATGAATGAAGTGTGTGTTTTGTACACTTCAAATAAAGCTTGAACATAAAAAAAAAAACTAAAAAGGAGAAGTGCAATGAGCTGAATCAAAGATCACACGGCACCCTAGGTCAGCCAGCAACACAGGACAGCCATAGAGGTTATACTCTGCGATCTGACGCCTTGTATACTGTGAAATCACCCTTAGTACAGTGGACAGAGACCAGGAGCGTATTTACCACAAGGCAAACAAGGCATCTGCCTAGGGCGGCATTTTTTCAGGGGGGCAGCACTGCCCTCCAAAAGAAGGGATGGAAGAAAGGACACACGCAGCATGGGGACCAGGTGGGATCTGAGAGATGCTGCGGGCTGCTTGATGGTATATGCAGAGCCTGACTCTTGTTCCCGGGGATGTCCGGAGCTGTGAAGGTGAGTGTCTTCTCTCTTGCCAGGGTGGGGGTGGGGTTGCCAGGGTGTATGGGGTGGTGGTAGTGGAAGGCTCTCTTGGGTGGGGGGGGTGTTTTTGGCCAATGTCAGGCTCTTATGGCAAGAGAGGGGGGAGTTTGTCAGTATCAGGCTCTCTCCGTGGGGGGAGACTATTTTTGTGTTGCCTAGGGCAGCACGAAACCTAAATGCACCACTGACAGAGACAACCAGGCAACTTGTATTTTCAGACAGGGGTCAGCAATGGCAGCCTCCATACTTCCCCTATGCTGGGTTTTCCGGAAAGCAAAGAAGAAGAAAAAGCTGCCTGTGCTGAACTCCTTCCGACGTAGAAAAAGAAAAGGATTCAAACAATGAGGTCAGAGCTCCTGGTCTGCATATCCATTGTAGATCAATAGCTGCAAAAATACTGAAATATTTGGATCAACCGGGTGCGACGGGAGTCACTTTGGGTGGGGGTCCCATGGAACACAGCCCCCTTTGGAGAGGTGGGGAGACCCGTCTTAGCTCCCCATATCCAACTTATGTGTAAGTCACCCTGTGCCTGTTAGGGGTGCAGGGTGAAATGTCCTGCTATTGAGTAGAAATGTATAGGTGGGGTGTGGGGGTTGTTCATTATTTACTGCCATGTGGTGCATCCCATTGTTCTATTGTGTGTCTTGCTTGGGAACAAACTATTATGGGATGTATGTGTTTGTATATTGGCTTGGTGGGGGGTGTCTGCTGTGTGTCTCTTGTTGCTAAGTATAGATTGCTCCGCCTTGTGTCATTATGCAGGGAGGGAGGATTTGTCCCCTGAGTGTATAAAAAGCCAGTTCGAGTTTCAAATAAAGAGTTCCACGTTTATACAGACTGGTGTCTTGTGTGGTCAGCGGTGGTGTCCGTGGATCTGTGTTCGGACGGAGAAGCGGGAGTCTAACGGAAATACCCCAGTGCAGTCGGGGTCCGGTTCCGTTACACCGGGTAACTAGTATTTTCAGAAGGCGGTCATTCACTGGCTGCCTCTATATTCCTCTCTATGTACATTTCCTTTAAAATGTCACCACTGCAGATTCAATTCATCGCCATCGTGTATGATTGATCCAACACATACCTGACAGTTCTTGGGGGTGAGCTTTAGTTCCTACTGGGCCGATGACAGCCCAGTCTGGCTCATAACCGGGGTCAAACAGTTCCTCTTCCGCACGACATGCTGCACTGCCTGGAGATTCCTGTTATTTAAGTGTAAATGAAGAAAAAAAAAATGAGAACTATGACAGATTCCTATTGCAATTTCAGAAAAAGACCTTCTCTGTGCAAAACAGAATACTAAAAAGGTAAGCCCTTAGTATAGCTCGCTGTTATACTTTCAAATATGTCCAACAGCCCCCCTGAGAGCCGAGTGTATGTCCAGGCTCTGCACATTGTCATGCTCCCCTGCAGTGGCCGAGGCCTGGTCTGTCCCCTCCAACTTTCTGCAGGCCTGGCCTTGACACTGGAGGCGAGTATAGAAGAGATAGGCGCAGGCTCCACCAGCAGTCAGTTTAGAAATGGTGTAGTGGTATCGGGTATCTTACATCTGTGGGCAGGGGCGGACTGATAACTCATGGGGCCCCCCCGGTCAATAGGGGATCATGGGGCCCCTGTGTCCTTCCCCAAACTCAAAAAAGCCTATGAAAAAGGTACCAGGGACATCTCATGGGGCCCCCTACTGACCCCGGGCCCTCAGGCAGTGCCCGAGTTTCCAAATGGTCAGTCCACCCCTGGTTTGTATTGTCTGTACCAGGGGCAGACTGACAACTTATGGGGCCCCCGGGCAATAGGGGATCATGGGGCCCCTGTGTCCTTGCCCAAACTCAAAAAAGCCTATGAAAAAGGTACCAGGGGCATCTCATGGGGCCCCCTACTGACCCCGGGCAGTGCCCGAGTTTCCAAATGGTCAGTCCACCCCTGGTTTGTATTGTCTGTACCAGGGGCGGACTGACAACTCATGGGGCCCCCGGGCAATAGGGAATCATGGGGCCCCTGTGTCCTTGCCCAAACTCAAAAAAGCCTATGAAAAAGGTACCAGGGGCATCTCATGGGGCCCCCTACTGACCCCGGGCCCTCAGGCAGTGCCCGAGTTTCCAAATGGTCAGTCCGCCCCGGTCTGTGGGTAATCTACTGCTGACCACAGGCATACCATTCTTTTAGGTTTTTCTAGCTACTTGACCTCCGGAAGATTCACCCCCCCCCCCCCATCCCCTTATGACCAGGCCATATTTTTTTAGATATAGCACTGAGTTACTTTAACCGCTTCCCGTCTGGCCGTTGTATATAAACGGCCGGACGTTGGCAGTGCACGGCCTCCCCACCCCCTGCTTGTACACGCTTCCTGGGAGCGCGCAGCACCGCGATCCGGTGCCGCTGTGTCCTCCGGACACAGTGGAACACCAATCGTCGGACGGGACCTCTGTGCGAGGTCCCGATCATGTGATCACTGATTGGCCAATCAGTGATCACATGCAGAGTAGTAAGCAAGATGTCATTTCTTACATCATTGCTTACTACATGTGAAATCTGTGAATGATCACAGAGATCACATGGTACAGGGCTATTCACAACAGCCTTGTACCATGTGACAAGCTGTGACCAATCACAGCTCACTTAGTAGTTCTCAATGGCTGCAAGAATGCAGCCAGAGAGAAGGAGAAATGATTGCTTTTACAGCCTTTATGGGTGTAAAAGCAGTAAGTGTAAAAAAAAAAAAAAATCTTCATCACCCCCCACAAGTAGTACAGTGTCACCAGGGTGACACTGTACTGCTAGGGTGACAGTATGTAAAAAAAAACAAAAAAAAAACAAATATAAAATAAAATTGTAAAAAAACAAATGTTTAAAAATTATAATTTTTTGTTATAAACTAATTTGGGTTATTTTTTTTTTTTTACTAAAAAGATAACTGAATACATTTTGGCCAAGTTTTATGATGAAATATTATTTATTTGCAAAATTATATAAGAAAAAACACTTTTTTCAAAATTTTTGGACTTTTTCATTTACATAGCAAAAAATAACCACTTCCAGTCCGAACACTTTCACCCCCTTCCTGTCCAGGCCAATTTTCAGCTTTCACTGTTTTCACACTTTGAATGACAATTGCGCGGTCATGCAACTCTGTACCCATATGAATTTTTTTTGAGACAATAAAAATTTATTTTGGTGGTATTTATTCACCACTGGGATTTGTTTTTTTTTTGCTATACAAATGAAAAAGTCCAAAAAGTTTGAAAAATAAATTGTTTTTCTTATAAAAGTTGGCAGATAAATAATCTTTCTTCAAAAATCTTGGCCAAAATGTATTCATCTATCTTTTTAGTAAACAAAAAAAAATAACCCATATTAGTTTATAACCTAAAATTATAATTTTTCAAAAACATTTTTGTACATTTTTATTTTTTTTTTTATCCTATTATTTGGGTTTTTTTTTTTTTACATACTGTCACCCTAGCAGCACAGTGGCCAATCAGTGATCACATGATCGGCACCTCCCAGTGGTCCCGTACAATGATCAGGCTCCCAGGGAGCGCGCACAAGCAGGGAAAAAAAATAACCCAAATTAGTTTATAACCAAAAATTATAATTTTTCAAAAACATTTTTGTACATTTTTATTTTTTTTTTTTTTTTTTTATATTATTTATGCTGGCCTGCACAGTATGATGCTACCTAAAATGTGGAGGTGACATTTCTCTGTGAATTATTCAGAAAGAGGTCAGCATAAGAAAAGTGCGACTTTACCTTTTTAGTGTAATGAATTTGTGTGGCGTCTCCATCTTCTTCCACAGGGGTCCACTGAAGAAGCACATCTGATGCCTGAAATGAGAGATCCAGCATTATCTTCCATCCTTCAAAGTCCACTTTTTGCGCAAAAATAATACATGCACAATTTTTTTGCAAGTAAAAAACAAAAAGTGCATTTATTATTTTTGTCTGCAGAAGCCTGTAAAGCTGTAACAGATACATTCTTCTGGAGAGTTTGCTCTTTTGAAAAACAACAGACTTCCTTGCTGGATCACCAGATGAAAATAGAAGAAAGAAAGCCTAAAAGAAGAAAACTAATGCAGCCATCACATCTAAGAATTGGTAAGCTGCAATATAATAAAGGTTTGCTTTTGGGTTTTCACTGTTTTTAACCACTTGCCTACCGAGCACCTATACCCCCTTATTTACCAGGCCAATTTTCAGCTTTCAGCGCTGCCGCACTTTGATTGACAATTGCGCGGTCATGCAACATTGTACCCATATGAAATTTTGATCATTTTTTTTCTCACAAATAGAGCTTTCTTTTGGTGGTATTTAATCGCCACTGGGCGCTTTACTTTTTGCGCTATAAATAAAAAAAATGCAAAAAATTTGAAAAAAAAAAAAAGTTTCTTTTTTCTTTTATAAAATTTTTCAAACAGGTATTTTTTCTCCTTCACTGATGTGCGTTGATGAGGCAGCACCGATGGGCACTGATAGGCGGCACTGATGGGCACTGATAGGCAGTACTAATGAGGTGGCACGGATAGCCGGCACTAATATGCAGCACTGATAGGTGACACTGATTATGGGTACTGATAGACGGCACTGACTGGCATCACTGCTGGGCACTGACTGGCGGCACTGACTGGCACAGCCCCTGGGCACTGACTGGCAGCACTGCTGGGCTGCACTGGTGGGTGGCACTGGTGGGCAGCACTGGTGGGTGGGCACAGGTGGGTGGCACTGGTGGGTGGGCACAGGTGGGTGGCACTGCTGGGCACAGGTAGGTGGCACTGCTGGGCACAGGTAGGTGGCACTGCTGGGCACAGGTAGGTGGCACTGCTGGGCACAGGTGGGTGCACTGGTGGGTGGCACTGCTGGGCACAGGTAGGGCGTAACTTGGGGTGGCACTGCGGGGCACCAATCATCAGGGCACTGATCATCAGTGCCCTGATGATCGGTGCCGATCCTCGCTCTGACAACTGCCGGTTCTCGGCAGTACTTTTCTCACGATCTGACAGCGTGAGGAAAGTGCAGCCGAGAACCGGCACTTGCATTTCCCTCTGATCAGCGTGTCATTGGACACCGCTGATCACGTGGTAAAAGGCCGCTGTGATTGGCCTTTTACCACATCACGTGATCAGCTGTGTCCGTAGGACACAGTGATCTTGGAGATCGCCGGGTGCGCGCCCCAGCGCGTTCTGGGAGGACGTCATATGACGTCCACTCAGAACTGGCCGGCCGCAGTGCAGCCGTCATTCGGCTATCTGCGGTCGGGAGCTAGTTAATGAATATGGAGCGACATTTGTGTCTTATTTCTGTCTTGAACATGGGTCATGTGACTTCTAAGCATATTTACCTTTTCAATAATGCGGACGACACCAGGGATCATAGAATCTTGATCATTCTGCCTTTTAGCGCTGGTATGTAAGAACACGCCTTGTTTCTCAAATGCCACCTGGGAAAAGAAGCAGAAATCCATTTGTCAGCATGGCAAAGCAGTACCAATCCTGCCATTAGGAGAGTAACAAACCTGGAAAAACGAACACATTTCCTTCTGATAACACTGCAGTCACTCAAAAACATTTTGTTCACAAAATTGTAAAAAAGGGAAATCAGTCAGCAAACTGCTGATGCTATCCAGTAAACACTGCAGCGGGCTGTGGACATTTTTGAAAAAAATACTTGTCCAGGGACTAAATCGGGGCCCCAATCTACTTGTCTTGATTAAAAAAAAAAAAAAATCAATTGTAGCCTCCCTAGCGGTCTGATTATGTCCATATTTCTGTGCTCAAAGCGGTACATTTTTTTGCATGGAAATATGTTGTTTTTTTATTGTAGGCTGTAATTTTTAGGATAACTCACTGAAATCTGTACGAACAAGAGTCTAGTAAACATCCCGGATATGATAAAATTTGAAACACGAAATCATAAATTATAATTTAATAAATAATCATAAAAATAATAATAATAAATTGAATTCAATAATATAATCAAACCAAAAACACTGAAATTTGAAATATAGCGCCAAGTTCGCACATCGCTGAGTTCAGTCGCAAAATCGTTTTCAGTGTCTGATGATGAATTTCCCCCACGAATCAATCATTATCACTCAATTCTGCGAGTGGTTCTGATTTACTATCGCTGTTCTCTAGCCGGTCTAAACCCGATTTTGACCTAAAGGGACGCTTTTTGGACGCCATGGACGTTTCTAAGTTTCCAGGCAGAAAGAACAGTAAAAATGCAGGCAGGGCGCCGGACAAAGCACTCGGGACAAAATGTATGTGAAATGGTTTGATACAGGAATGTTATACTATGTGATTTTAGTGTATTTAGTGAATGTCACTTTTTCACATTTTTAAATTTCCTGCCGTTCCATCCCCCGTACGTCCCGACGTCGCAGGGGACGGAACCCAGGAGACGGATGCCGGCATCGGCCGGAGGACATTGCTGGGGACGCTGCAGGGGGGGACATCGTGGGAGCGAAGGACAAGGTAAGTGAAGAAGAGATCCCAGAGCAACGCTGCAGTGTATTCCCGAGTGTAGCTCGGGGGGGTTACTGCTTGTGGTGCTGAAACTTTACCCCGAGCTACACTCGGGAATGATACCACCAGGGGGGTTAACCAAAGCTGTATTTAAATCTCAGGTGCTGTTAGGAATGTCTGGGACTTTTAAAAACAAAAAAAAAGGGCTCATTGCGTTGTTTAACTCCTCATACACCCCCCCCCCCCCCCCCTCCCGTCTCTAGCACCGTACCCGGGGACTAGCAAGGAGGGGAGGGACCTTGCAGTGTAATGAGCAATGATTGGGTGCTTGTCAGCGAAGAGGAGTGTCGCGCTTATCCTTTATCCATTTTGCTGCCAGAGCCGTTTTTGCACACGTTTAAAAAATCATTTTAGGCTTGAAGATTACATGTGTATGTATGAATGTGAGTTAGGGACCTTAGATTGTACACCCCTTGAGGGTTAGACCTTGTACACCCCTTGACGCCCCTTGACCCCCTCGGTTCACATATATGCGGCCGTGTTTTGCACGGGCACGAGAGCCCGTTCCTTTGAATGGACTCCCGTGCCCGTGACATGCAGGAAAAGAAGATCCTGCACTTCTTTGGAAAATGCAGCCCGCACAGGAACCTCGGTTCCCGATACGGTTGCGTTTTCCAGTGCGGGTGGCGTGCCATTAGAACTAATGCCACCCGCCCGCGGGTCCGCAATTCTCTGTGCGGGTGGTGACGCTGCTCGGATGTTTTGCGGATCCGGAGCGGCACCACCCACACAAATATGAACCTAGGGTGAGGGTTAGAGACTGATGTGAATGTACAATATATATGTAAAGCGCTGCATAAATTGACAGCGTTATATAAGTACCTGAAATAAATAAATTACATAAAACCCCCAAAAACATGATATTTTCTGAAATCAGAGCCCCTAGAGAATAAAATAGCGGTAGTTCCAATTTTTTATGTCGCATGATATTACTGCAAAGGTCTAGAAAACGCAAAATTTCAGTAAAAAAAAAAAAAAATCACACAAAGTTAATTTTAGGGCACAAAACGCAATAAATTACCGTATTGCCGGCGTATAAGACGACTGGGCGTATAAGACGACCCCCCTACTTTTCCTGCTAAAATGTAGTGTTTGGGCTATACTCGCCGTATAAGACTACCCCTCTTCCAATGCACACCAGTGGGAGGAATAGTGCCCCATCATTGATGTCAGTGGGAGGAATAGTGCCCCATCATTGGTGTCAGTGGGAGGAATAGTGCCCCATCATTGGCATTAGTGGCAGGAATAGTGCCCCATCATTGGTATCAGTGGGAGGATAGTGCCCCATCATTGGTATCAGTGGGAGGAATAGTGCCCCATCATTGGTGTCAGTGGGAGGAATAGGTGCCCCATCATTGATGTCAGTGGGAGGAGTGGGGAGGAATAGTGCCCCATCATTGGTATCAGTGGGAGGAATAGTGCCCCATCATTGGTATCAGTGGGAGGAATAGTGCCCCATCATTGGTATCAGTGGGGGAATAGGTGCCCCATCATTGGTATCAGTGGCAGGAATAGGTGCCCCATCATTGGTATCAGTGGCAGGAATAGTGCCCCATCATTGGTGTCAGTGGGAGGAATAGTGCCCCATCATTGATGTCAGTGGGAGGAATAGTGCCCCATCATGGTGTCCCCATCATTGGTGTCAGTGGGAGGAATGGTGCCCCATCATTGGTATCAGTGGCAGGAATAGTGCCCCATCATTGGTCATGGGAGGAATAGTCCCCATCATTGTGTCAGTGGGAGGAATAGAATGGGAATGGTGTCCCATCATTGGTGTCAGTGAGGGGTGGAATAGTGCCCCATCATTGGTGTCAGTGGGGGGTGGAATACTGCCCCATCGTTGGTGTCAGTGGGGGGGGGGGAATAGTGCCCCATCATTGGTGTCAGTGGGGGGGAGGAATAGTGCCCCATCGTTGGTGTCAGTGGGAGGAATAGTGTCCCATCATTGGTATCAGTGACACCAATGATGGGGCACTATTCCTCCCACTGAGACTTGCTGACCCTGTTCTCGTATGGTGCTGCTGCAGCCAGCATATGTGGTTGCAGCAGCACCTCTACACAGAACACTTACCTGCTGCTCCGGCACTCAATTTTCGCGGGGCCGCTCGGCTCCGCCCCCTCGCCGGTGATTGGCCGCCTGTGTGCCTTTCCTGAGCTACAGTTCTGGCGGCCAATCACCGGTGAGGAGGCGGAGCCGAGCAGCCGCACGAACATCCAGTGGCCGAACTGAAGGAGACGCCGCGCTTCCTGGACCGGATCGTCGTGGGACTGGATCCAGGTAAGAGACATCAGCCCCTGCAAACCCCTGTACTTAATGCCGCAGCCCCCCTAAACATGTGTACCGGCGTATAAGACGACCCCCGACTTTTGAGAAGATTTTCAAGGGTCAAAAAGTCGTCTTATACGCCGGCAAATACGGTACCCTATTGTTTTGGTAAAATATAAAAGACGATGTTCCACAAAGTAAATAGATATCCAACATAGCAAACCTTAAATTTGCATGTGCTCGCAAAATGTCGACAAACTTCAGTACCCTATGTTTTTTTTTTTTTTTATAGGCGGCCCTTTTAACCTCTGCACGCCGGCCAAAAGCAAATGTGCAGCCTCCCGGCATCTGGGCCTAGATGCTGAGCAGCCACACATTTGTGCTCTATTAAAAAAACGGACATATGTGCCAAGAGCGTGCGCCCTGCACGCTCCCAGCACACGTCCGGTACTCACGGAAAGGTCCCAATCTCCTCTTTCGATCAGGACCTTTCCGGACCGCCGTGACGGTCGTGATCCTGAACCCCGCCCCGCCTTGTGAAACTCTTAAAGGGCCGGGGTGAAGGGGTTAAAGGCCCTTATAGGTCATCAGTTTGGAGTTACGGAGGTCTTGTGCTAGAATTATGCTCTCATTCAGCGTGCGCGGTGATCTGTAACGTGTATCGCAATCGTTGGTTTCATGCGTAGGCACCCTGGCATGTGCTTTTACTTTTGTATGTGCGTATATGTGGAGATGGGGGGGGGCCTCAAATTTTTTTGAGGGAATGTTATGTGCTTGGGTGCAACTTTGATTTTTTTTTACTATTCAAAAAAAAGAAAAAAATGTTCTACTTAACTTTTTTTTTTCATCACATAAGGGACAAAAAGTCCCCTATGTGATGATTTTTTGGTGAACGGTTCTCTTTAACCACTTCCAATCCGGACACTTTCACCTCCTTCCTGCCCAGGCCAATTTTCAGCTTTCAGCGCTATCACACTTTGAATGACAATTGCGCGGTCATGCAACACTGTACCCATATGAATTTTTTTTGCATTTTTTTGAGACAGATAAAACTTTATTTTGCTATATAAATGAAAAAGTCCAAAAATTTTGAAAAAAAAGTGTTTTTCTTATAAAATTTTGCAAATAATTGAATAAATTTTGGCCAAGATTTATGAAAAGAGATTATTTATCTTTTTAGTAAAAAAAAAAAAAATAACCCAAATTAGTTTATAACCAAAAATTATAAATTTTTCAAAATTTTTTTTTACATTTTTATATTATTATTTATGTTTTACTCTAGCAGTACAGTGGCCAATCAGTGATCACATGATCGGAACCTCACAGTGATCAGGGTCCCAGGGAGCGCGCACAAGCAGGGAAAAAAAAAGTAACCCAAATTAGTTTATAACCAAAAATTATAATTTTTCAAAAAAAATGTTTGTACATTTTATATTTATTTATTTTTTTTACAAACTGTCACCCTAGCAGTACAGTGGCCTATCAGTGATAACATGATCGGGACTTCACAGAGGTCCCATACAACGATCGGGCTCCCAGGGAGCACGCACAAGCAGGGAGCGGGGAGGACGTTTATAAATGGCCACCTGCCCCTGCACTGCTCCCGTCTAGCCGTTTACATACATGGGCCGGACGGGAAGTGGTTAATGAGAAATCCACAGTCTAACAGA